TGTCATGACAGACAGGTCGACAATTACACTAATCCAATATATATTGTAGAATCGCAAGAACCACGGGGAGAATGGCACTTGATATCTTGTCATTGCTGCTCACCGCGCTCCGATAAGCAGAACCCTAACGATGACATTGCTGTGTTCTGTTCAAGAAGCAGCAGCTAACTAACGTCAAAGGGAGGTGTCTATCCGTCTAGGGTAGGTAGGCAAATGCTGGAGGTACTTTGCGTGGTGTAGGGTGGGTGGGTTGACATGCGTCACAAATAAGGGATGGGATGGATGGACGGCGCTTGAAAAAGTTGCAATGGCTCCGGATGCGGCTGGTTCTGGAGCAGATCATCCGCAAGAGGTAAATGATGTGACCATATCCCCAGCTGAGGTCAGGGTAAGCAGCAGGGATCTGGACAACAAGACAGGGGAAAGGAATGGTTTCATTGGGCGATGTAGACGTCAACTGAGAAGCCAGCTGAGCCGAGCTGAAAAGCCGTTGTCTGTTTCGCTTGGCATGATCCAAGAAGGGTTTGGACACTGAAGGGAGGCCTGACGCCACAACGTTTTTCGTTTTTAGTGGCCGGTGTCGAATGGAGCCTTTGGATTAGGGGCTCCATCAACGTCCGGGGCGGGGGAACGACTGAGGTGACTATTGCCAATATCGTTGTTTGCCCATCGGAGCCTCCCTCATCCGGTCAAGAGGTAGGTCATTCATGGAATATTTATAAAGTACGGAGTAGCATTCACCAAAGGGGCAGCTCCTGTTGCTTTGCCAGCCAGACCATACAGCACAGCACAGCACAGCACAGCACATAATACGGATCAGATGCTGTAATTCCAGTACTAAGATAGATAGATGGATGCCAAAGGAGGGAGGCTGCAGAGTGCAACAGCTCATTGTGGATTCAATAATGACAGCCGTGATGTAACCATACCTTGACTGATTGACATGAAGATCCATCCTTTCACGTCTAGTACATACATACATGTGTATGTAGAGCCCAAGCTGGCGGACCCCGATGGGCCTATCTGCCTCTGCCTCTGCCCGCAAGAACAGTAATTATGTACAGAGTACCAGTACTATATGAACGCAGTCCAGGAGCTCTCAGTAAGTCAAGACATGTTGTGACTCGAGTATCTCTCCTGTGCGTATGGGATGACCATGACCATGGCCATGCCATGCCATGTGCTGTCTGTGAGTGATCCAACGCATGGTCTGATCTGATCTCGGCACGCGCCTTGGCCCTGGACAATCTTTTCATTTAGATTTAGACGAGCCCGCTTGCCCGCCCGTTTTTGTTTCGTTTCGTTTCGTTTCCAATGGGAGAATGGTTGGTGCAAACTGCAGCGTTGCTATGACCCCATCGTCGTTTACGCAACCCCTGCTCGTCCAGACCTGGGCGGGTTAGCATTCTCCGCACCTGATTAAACGTGGACGAACGGCCTGTAACGCAGTTAGCACCTAGGGAGAAGTTAATTAGAACAAAGAACTAACTAGAGGACTAGTGCTCTGTAGAGCAACGAGAACAAAACAAGATGATGACCGTGACGGGCCAGGGTCTAGATATTATTCGGTTGTCCAGGAAAGTGCCCATCTATCGATCACTCTGCATTTGGATGCAGCAATCTTATTTTCCCATCCATTGCAACGGTAGTCGGACAGTCGAGTCAGGGCTTGGAAGGTCACCACCGCTTTCTTGTGCGGTCTGGTCTGGTCTGGTCTGGTCTGGTCTTGACTTGACTGGGTTGGCATTAACGAAATCAGGGATGGAAATCTCTCACTCGCCCGCCCTCGATTGACTCTTGAGTCCCTAGGCAATGCTTGTGTAATGGTCATGTTCAAGAGAATGAGTGAAAGTCGATGATGATGGAGTGCCGTGTATCGCGGACAAGCCTGCGTATCTTCAAAAGTACCTACCTAAATACACTCGTCAGTCGAGAAGGATTATGTAGTTAGGTAGCTAGTGAAGCAAGACACTCAGGAATGCATATCTTTTTGGGGCCGAACAGGTTCGGAGGTGCACTGCCAAAAACCAAAAGGTCCGCGCCAGGGGGAAATCAAACGGATTACATGGTACTAGGTACCTACCCTACCTTACCTACAAAGAAGCCCGAGCAGAAGATCGGCCAGTAGTCCCTTGACCCTGCTGACTACACATGGCATTGGATCCGTCTGTTAATCCGAAGATCCCAACCAAATGGAAGGGTTGTAGCGTAGCAGTGCGGATACGTACCTACCTAGCTATCCGTAGACCTGTACTGTAGCATTGGGTTTGGCATTGACAGTAGCCACCCGTTGACGATGATCGCCCTGCTTCTTACCCTGGTCCTGGCCGTCAATGCACAGGACGAACAGGCCCACAGCGCACACGCTGGTAGCGATGGTGACGGTGAAGTATGCGACCCTGGCTCTGAAACGACTCAGTGGTGGACAGTATGTACTAAGCCAGTCAGTCAGTCGATCAATCCATGTTCCTAGTATCCATATCCGTGGTAGACACAGACTATCTATTCCCAGTGACCATCATATGTATTCAACAACTTGGTATTATCATTCAGCAAGCATATTCAGTCTATCAGAAAACTATCGTAACTTGCCTGTGCATACAAATACGGAGTGGTTGAACCGAGAGAAGCGGATGGGCCGATAAATCTACCATAATAATGGTTCAGAAGGGTTGGGGCTCCCCTCCCTTCTGGTATCATTCGTATTGATACAGCACTCGAATCAATAAGGAATTATTCCGATCTACCTCTATCCACTTCAAAGTCTCCCCTAGATGACAACTGAGCTGTCACTCATGTAGACCCAACAACAGAAGCCTGACTGACTGACTGACTGACTGACTGGCTGGCTGTTGGGATGTGAACTCGGACTAAGGGATGACAATATCATACAAGCCAGCGGCGTTGAACTTGAAGGTGTATCAAACTCTAACAGGCGATTGACTTACCAGATGCGACAGTCACAGGCTGAAATCGAGGGTACACTATAGTGACTTAGTAGACGGTAAGGTCCGAGTGAGTTGGGCCGAGGGGAGACCACAGGGCGGTTGCGATATCTGTCGATACTTTGTAGAGTAGCCAACAATAACCTCCACTGTCTTGACAACCTACCTACAGCCCAGTGCATAAAGACGGTGCCGAGCTGATACGCTGAGCCCGCCGGGCTTGTACGATGCAAGTCGTCGCCCACTTACGCAACCAACAGCCAGCGTTATGTTAATCGGCTGAACAGTACTGCCGTCCTGTAACAATACTCGACACATCTTTGTATTCAGTGGGATCAGGTGAGGGGGAACTCATCCAATGAACGAAGCGAGGGGCATGATAACAAGGACAGTTGAGTTCGTTTACCAGTGAACGGTGGAGCAAGCCCCCGAGCTGTAGGTTTTTGGAAACGACTGCGGCAACAAAGCCCAAACTGCTTACTGGTAAATAAAACAGCTGCCTGGAGAGACTCAAACTCAAGCACCTTATCGCGCCGACTAACAGTGGCAGGCGTTTTGACACAAGGTAGCCATGGCTGTGCTGTAGTTCTCACCAACAAAATAAGAATGGCTTGTCTTGTGCGTGACCAACATAGACTGCAAACAACACAGTGGCTCTGGACCTTATTTTCCATTCCACGATGATGCTATGGGTCCGCACAAGCAGGTAAGTCCCTGGCGGATCTTGATCTGATTTGCAATCAGGAACTCGTGAGAAACAACCGCTTCCAGCCCAGACCAAAAGCCCTTTCAGGGTCTAGGTAATACTCCATATCAACAAGTCAGGAACTACACAGTAGCTTCAACAAGGCAGCTCCGAGAGGATAGTTCCAGGGCGTCCAAGGTGAGCAGCCCAGGGCTCGAGGCACTCAGCGGCTCTACAAGAGATGAGTCAAGCGGAAGCGTGAATTCTGTCAAAGGCTTGCCTCCAAATGTTTATTTCCTTGATTCTGCTTTGCTCAACGAACACATGCATACGTGCATTGTTTTCAGAAGACGGACATTATTAGACATACAGTCTTTTGACTTTTCGGACCTCGATTTGATCACCAGCTCGTGTGCGTGTTGTCAATCGATACCTGCAAGCATTCTTTCTGAGTACTGACTGGTCAGTGATCTAGTTACGGAGGGCATTAATCGCATCCGGTCAACGTTTCAGCCAACCAACGAACCGCCTCCGCAAAGTTAGTAGAGTTGCCCTTCCGTTGCCGCTATGAGAAGTCCTGTCAGTCAGTCAGTCGCTGAGTGAGAGTGAGAGAGTCGCTTTGACAGCAGCCCGGTGGGTCAAGACGCCTAACCAATCCCGTCAACGATGCGATGCCTACCTTCACCCCACTGCGCCCTCGGATACTTTACACCCTGCAAACAACCTTTTCCGCTCCATTCACCCCCCAGAAGTGATTTGAGATAAACCAGATTTACGCCCCCCCTGGCTAAGAGCGCCACAGCCCCCAAGTCGAACTCGACAGCGGACATCCTGGTGGCAGATCAACAAAGTTACCTTACTTTAGTTTGTTGACCCAGAACTCGGCCACTCCAGCACGTACAGTACCTGTCCTGTTCTGTTCTCCTGGGCCTGTTCGGTTCTTTTCTTTCTCCTTCACACCCCCCTCCCCCCCCCCCACCGGCCTTGTCCTTGCTCGTTGGTGTCACGATTTTACTTTACTTTTACTTTGCTTTGCCTTGCCTTACACCTCTTCCCCATACATTAACTCCCATACATAGGCTTCATGCCTTCCTTCCGCCCCATCCTTTTCTCACGGATATTTTATCACCTTCCTCCCTCCTTCTAAATCAACTTCCATCTCTTCCTCAGAGCCTCATCTCTCTCCATCTCATCACCATCTCCATACAAACTAATCCCAACACCTTGACAACAACTAATACATCACACCAAGTTTCAATCTCATGTGAAACATCGTCACCAAGAGGCACCTTCATACACACACACACATACACATACACTTATATATACATATATACACACTCGTCACCAATCAGTAGCCGTCACCCAACATGAACAACCCCGCTCCCATCCAGCAGCGGAGAGGCCCTTGGTCACAATATGAGGATGTGTATCTTATGGAACTTGTTCGCACGCATGGAGCTCTCAACTGGGTTCGAATTGCGTCAACCCTGGGAACCCGTACACCAAAGCAGTGCCGCGAGCGTTATCATCAGAACCTAAAACCAACACTCAACCACGAACCCATCACACCCGAGGAAGGTGTCATAATTGAACGACTTGTCGCGGACCTCGGGAAACGCTGGGCCGAAATTGCACGCCGTCTCAATGGCAGGAGCGATAATGCCGTCAAGAACTGGTGGAATGGTAGCCAAAATAGACGTAAGCGCACGGATCGACGACGCGCTGCGCAGGATCACCACGATAGCTACTACCCCTCGAACCGCCCCGGACTATCCATTTCTACACCAGCCATTCCCATGCATGGAGCACAACTCTCACCCCTAACTGGCACCACCATGCGTCATCCCATGCATTCATGGATTGAGGCTCCTCTCCCCTCGCCATGCTCTTCCGATTCTGCTGAATCCGAAATGGGATCCAACTATACCACATCACCTTCCCATCATACCACGCAACTCGCTGGGCCTGTCGAATTACCACCTCTGCGTCACTCAGGCTTGCCAACAGCTGGTGACAGGCTTCCCAGCTTTGACAGATTGGCTCCTCCCCATGCTTATGTGGACAGGCCTGAGTATCAACCCAGGTTGCCCCATTTTGCCCCTCAAGCGCAACTACTCACCGCGCCTAACTCGCCTGTCCAGCAGCAGCAGCAATCACAAAACCGAAAGGCCCAAGATTCCAGGATGCATCTCTCCGCCCTCATGGATTAAGATAATGTCGCAGTTATACGGTCGAAGATGGGCCTTACCCACGCATACAATGCGATGGTATGTGCGGTAACGTGTAGATATTGATTGGGCGTTGTCACCGCGAACTTTACAGGCCGTGACGGAGTCTTACAGGGTCTATGGGACATTGGATTTGGCAAAAGATACCAGGCGTTTAGTGAAAGGTTCTCGGAATTGAAAGCGTATGATGGTTTTACGAAATACTAATAAACCCGAGACTAGATCTCGAATGAAGGTTTAAGCAAATAAACTATACTTTGGATTATCATCTAACTCGTCTGGATGCCTGTCCTGATATGTATACATGTGGTAATTGTCTTTCGTAGATACATTCAACAGTAGAATATCTTGCCACGATCTGAAGGCTGTAACTCCTTAGGGCATTGGCTTTGAATCGGCCGGCTTGAAACGCTTGTCAATGTACCGGGCATACCAACATACCTAGACAGAGTAACTTGGTGGGGGACGGTTGACGTTAAAAAGTGGCAGCGTGATAGTCAGGTCACAGAACTACGAGAGCAGCTAAGGTAGGCTGCTTGATGGTCAAAAAGTCCGATTTGGCAGGGCAAAGTAGGTACGCTCGCTGCCAGACGTGCGTTTAGTGTTAAACCCGACGCAATGCCTTGAGGACAGAGCGGAATCACAGTCACAGTTGCAGTGGTAGTCTCTACGTATGCGCCAAGAGAGGCAACTTGAGTTGTGGAGAAGAGTTGCTTCTTCATCATAGTTAGAGCAAGCAAGTAAGCTAAGGTAGGTAACCAACAACAGACATGATCCATGCACGCGTATTGTGGTGGATGGGGGGATTTCCCAGTCACCTCTCTTTTTCTCAGACACAAAAGGAAGTACGGCGAGCCGCAGGACCAAGGTCGACAGGTAGAGACAGAGATAGAGACAGGGACACGGAGAAGCCAAGGCATGCATACACCGGCGGGATACGGGATCGACGTTGATCTACACTATACTGATGAATGCTCAGAGACTTGAATTGCTGTGAGTTTCCGGTGCAGATACTCCATATACATGCATACATACTTCAACTTACATACCAAGATTTAGATGCAAAATCTCGATTCTGCACCCCTAGTCCACGGCTGAAAGTCGATAGTACCGTGGTGTAGACGCCCGGGCAATGGACGATGCAAATAGGGCCAGGGAGGGGTCATTGTTTGTGGGGATACAAACTTGGGTAGTGATTCAAGGTACGGGACTACATCCGTAGGAAAGGAGGATTCCAATTTCTAGTGCGTATCTTCTTTACCGTGCAAGTTCATTAATTGACTGATTGATCGATTGATCGACTGATCGAGGTTGATGGCTCTCCTGTTCTTGTCGAGCTGGCGCCAATGGATCCAAGGACACTAACAAGGACCAGTTGGCTGGCGCTCTAGTGGTGGTGCAGGCCCAATAGGGACCCCTTCCCTCGGGGATGGCGCTTTGATTTGTTTCTTATCCTTGATTACTGAGCTCTCTTGGTTTTGGGGAATGCCGTGCCCTGTTGGTATCGATGGGTGCATCCACAGTTGGACGGGATCTGCTAACTTGAGATGAGCGGGTCTCTGTTGGGGTTTGTTCCCTGCTACGGTAGAAGATCTGACTGAGTGTCATTGAATGAATAAATGAGTGAGCGAGTGAGTGATTGATGGTTGATTGAACTGCACTGCACTTGATTCAAGGCGTTAGCTCCAAGACGAATGATCGATGATTGAATGATGCATCTGACTAGCTACCGGCTGGACGGTGTCCCGAACGAAAGGGAACCCGTCGTTACTGCTCTAGGCGCTGGACTAGTCCTGAGTCGGAACATGGCATGGCCCAACCTGGAAATTTGTGCAAGACAGGGTAGTATCGTGTGCCGTTGCTGTGATTGCTTCCGTCGACGCAACGCTTTTTTCGGGTGCGTGTGGCCCAAGAGCCAAGGGCGTGGATTTCATTAGATTAGGTAGTAGTGACCAAGTAAGATACATACCTACATACCCACCTCACCTAACCTTATGGGGGGTCTAGGTACGGGCTCCCTAGGCACTGAATTGGGTTGCGCTGTGCTGCGCTGTGATCCATGCCTGCATTGCATTCATCGACAATGATTATTGATTTGATCATCTTGATTGGATGTGTATCGGTGGAGAGATCGGGGAGCAGCCAACCGCCCCGGTCTCTAGGTGATGAATGTCTAGCAGCTAACGGTATCTGACACGATCCGTGTGTTCAGTCCTCTGTAGGCTCGGGCTCCCTTGAATTATTGACCGTACTTGGTGAGTAGAGTTGCTATCATTGACCTGACTGAGGAGTACGTTCGCAATCGATGCTACTTTCATCTCTTGATTGCTTTTGCGTACTCGATACCCTGTCTATATGCTACTGTACACCCTGGCCAAGGTCAGTATCTACTATATAGTAGGTATGGATTCTTTTGGATTTTTTTTCCTTTTTGCTTCAAGCCAGCCCCATCGGTCATTTGCGACATTCGATCTGGCACTTGATTCAACGTTAATCTGGTAGTGATGAGGAAGGATCTGCCTCGAGCCAAACAGGGTGCTGTGCAGTACTAACACTTCCTGGGTTGTTCTTCTTGCTCATGCTGCGTGCACAAGCCTCCTCTGCCTGACTCAAACCCAGGAAAGCAAGGACCTGTACTCAGCATCTTCAAGCAAGCCTCATCGGGAATATTTATCCTCCATTTACATACAGTGATCGACATAATCGTCTACGGAGTACAGTATTGTACAGTACCTTTACATCACCCTACCCCTTATCCCTCCATTTTGAACGTCTAGTCATGTATCCTTACCTCGACCAGTGCCGAGGTTGGTTGACCGGCATCGTCTTGGATCTCATTTTAATCTGTGATACAGGGCAAGGCGAGACGGGACAATCCACCAACCCAGCATCGGCAGCCACTGATGCTAGATGCAGGTGCACTATCCAATACCACCCATGTCCGTCTGTCTGGGTTGTCTTGGGGCCTGAGGAGCCGGAGTTTACTAACAGGGAGGTCGACTGAGACCTCTGGGGATTACTTCCTCTCCTCTCTTCTCTTCTCTGCTCTTCTCTTCTCTGCTCTTCTCTTCCCTTCTCTTCCTCGGCGCAGTTGAAATCTCGTAGTGCTTGATCTCATCAGCGTCGGCACTCACTCACTCAACCATAGTTCCAAGTATCTGTAGTGTGTGTGTGTGTGTGTGTGTGTGTGTGTGTGTGTGTGTGTGTGTGTGTGTGCACAGCGCGCAACACGGGAGCCAATCTTGAACCTGTAAGGACTGTACCCGTCGCCGTCAACTTGGCGCCGATCCCGCTGGTCGAGCAAGGGTTGCATGGGAAAATTACCGTATGTACTCCGTACGGTACCCCAAAAGTGATCGAATCTACAGGGATCCTTGAGCCAATCACCCGGGAAGGACAATTCCCGACGATACGATAATCCATGTCTTTATCATAATCGTGGATTTAGGGGTCGATGGGAGATCGCTACAATTTCTTTTCTTCTCTTCTCCAACCATAATGACGTGCCGGGCCGGGGATGGTCAGTCCGAATAGCTTCGGGGAGTGTTTCTGAGCTCAACCGTGAAGGGTTCAAGAGTCACTCGCTCACTTGGCTTCTTTTTTCCAGTGCAGAACGACGAGCCAATCATTCATCTGTCTCAAACACGTACCTCGGCGTTGCACTTATGCAACCTCGCATTTCTTGTGCAGCATCTCGGGCAGTGGAACCAATGTTTCTATTTTCTGCTGGTTCCGTGTGGACGGCACGAAATCTCATGGTCGTTCCGCGCTCCTGCATGTAACGCAGCGCAACGCAACGCTGGCAACGCAGCTCTCGCAGGCGCAGATGAACGTCAACCAGCGTTGTCGTAGTCTCAACGGTCACAAACAAGGGCGAGGGGCTAAGTAGATTTTGGTCAAGATGGAGAGGTGCACAACGGGGATATCGTTGTAGTGCACCCTTGTTCCAGGGTACGAAGAGCCGCTGATTGGATCAGAAGGCAGCTGATGATTCCCAGGTTTTGGAAATAACATCCATACATGCATGGATGACCAATAAAGCAGTAGGGGTTTCAGGCGCGCTTGATGGAATTATTGGCCTCTGGGCTCCATCAGCCAACCATGGCGAATTCCACAGCAATCAAACCGAAAGGTTGTTCGCAAGCTGCTCAGCCAAAGCAAATAAACTTCTGTTCCAGGGGACCATGACGATTGAGTGGGTGTACAGGGTAGTAGTGTCACCGATGAGGCGGGCTGCCCGTTTAGCTGAGAGCTGGAGCAGGGTTCTTGGTGGGCAGCCGATGACATTCGGGGTGGCTCACATGAAACCTAGACGTTGCAACCCATCGATGACGACTACGAATTGCAAGAGGAGGAGTGAATGCACTGCGAAAGTATGTAAAACTCCAAAGCTCGAATTCGAAGCGAATCGGCTGCAATCGAAAACTCTAACTCACTCGACCGTTAGGAACAAGATCTACGCTGCACAGAAAGACTCAAAAGTATATACAAGCATACGTACATACATACATACAGACAGACAGACACGAATTCTATGTACGGGAACGAGAATGGCAAGATCAGTCTTTATTTCACAGCTGTCGTGAAGCAGTTGATGATCTGCGAGTGGACATTTTGTCTGACTCTCGATCCTGTTACCGTCTGTACGGTTACTTGTTACATCACCGACTTCAGCCTTGACGGTCAGTCGGTCAAGTCAAGTCAATGTCAATGTCAATCCTGGACAGTTTTGAAATTGCATGCCTTAGCAATATGGACATTCTCAAAATCTCCTTTTCCGTTATTAGAAGCTCAGTTCACTTCAGATCGATTGCGATCATCAGCTAAGAGGTGTCCATCCTGGCCCCAATTTTACTACTGCAAACATATAGCATCACACTAAATCGACCATACACCCCCCTCCCCCCCTTTCCTCGCCATCTCGCCCTCCACTCTGCTCGTAAACTTCCCAGAGATCGAGTTGAAGAAATCGAGCTACCGTATGCTGTGTGTTCATAACGTCTGAGACAGAGACAAGCAATTGGATGGATCTTGTACGGACGGCAGCTGGGGTTTATACCTTAGCTTACAGGGGGGGAAGATGGCAGTCTCAACGGTTTCTTTCCAATTCACGATTACTGATCGCCAGGGGCCTTCCTGACACTGAGTGTCACGTCGCGATGGCTCTGTATTTCTGTCTTTGTGTTTCTGTGTTCGGTCGGGAGCTTAGGCCATGTCCCGAAAATCTTCGGGCGCCCGTTGCGTTTCGGCCTTTGGGCTTCTCGTTGTCTGATTTGATTGGGTCGTTTGATGTGCCAATGGATCATCGCATCATGCCCTGTCCCCCGTTAAGAATGATCTTCCTTGGTTTCTGTAATCCTTGTCCCCAGAGTCAGACCCCTCTGACCCTGTCAAGCTGATGCTTCCCTGGTGCTTCCACCGTTCTGGCGGCGCCTGTCATGGAGACATGCACGCACACACACACACACACGGATGGAGACCGTTGTTGATCAGATCCATTGTTTGTCCAGCTGCCGTGACTTGGCTATGCTATGACATGCCATGCCACTGGCCAAATGAACGAACAACTAACTGTCTTGCTTACATACTGACGGGGCTGGCTAGCTTAATAGCACTATTGATTAATTCGGGCCACCATTCGCGCGATTCAGATACTCATATCCGGCCATTGACTATTCGCTCACAATCAAACTGGCCTTCCTGTATCTACTTTGAGCCTTGACCATAACGGTTGAAACTATTTGCGGCTGTCGACACTTGGGTGACTGCTTGCGGCTTAGATCGTGCCGCTACTTGTTAACATCGAGTCAGCCACAGACGGACGGGTTTTTTCCACGCTGGTGCGGATGGGGATGATCCATGCCAATGTCTCGGATTTGAGCATGGATCGCCAACCCCGCTAAGAGGTCCACTACCGACCGCTCCCGCTCACCGTTGGCTAAATCTACACCCCCACCTTCTCTCTGCTCTGTCTCTCGTCCTTAGCGCACAAAGGCCGCTCCCTGGCCCCTGGCAGTGGCAGCTTGGCATTGCTCAGGCCTGAACGCTTCTTGAGTCGTCGTCCATCTGTCTACCTAGCCGACACCCCCCTAGTCTACTGGGTTTCAGTCGTTGGTGTTGGAGCTGGTCCTTCTGTGTCGCAAGGGCCGTTAAGATGGATAGTTTCAACCCGGATCGTGGGAACATTTCATTGCATCTCATCTTATCTCCATTGTCATACGAAAAAGAAACCACTACGCATGTATCGTGTATGTATGCATGCGTATACATATAGGACATTAGTTAGGGAGTTTGTCCACTGTCTGGTCCGAGGTCGCGTCCACTGCATTTGTGCTGGCCGTAGTGGAAGTCCTTGCCTTTTAGTGCGTCACGACAACGTTGAGATTGTCCTCCATGTCCTTGCTGGTTTCAAATGGTGAGATCGAGTGTTTGCGTGTCAGGTAAGGCCTATCAGCTCGAGCATTACGCTGAATCTCTAACGAACGTATGCATGAGAAAATCATTACGGAATTGTGGTCTTTTATCTGAATTTGAGTTTCATTCCTGTGTTCTGTGTTTCTTCTGAAAACAACGCAGAAAACTCTCCTAGAGGATGTGATGTAATCCAGCCGCATGTCTTCATACTTTGGCCGGAGATTTCGCCAGCGGCAGGAGATGGAATCCTAGCAACAGTTACCTTGGCATGGATATGCAACCTGTCGCTACGTAAAACCTTGTCCCCCCCAGGACACCACATTGAACTGGATGCATCGTGCAACCAACGAGGCAAATACCGGCTGGCACAATGACAAATCTTTGCAAGGCCTACGATCGGACCAAATGCGTCCATGAGGCCTCGCGACAGAGGCATTCCATCGGGAGACAACTCCCCCTGCTTAGTCGTATTTTTGGTGACTTTGTTGGTCGCCATATTACTACACAACCGGCCCTCTGTACCGGGTATTCCGTCGAGACAGGAGCTCTAACTTAGTACCTAGTAGGGAGCGGCCTAAGCAGGTAAGTAAGCAAATAGCCCGAGGCATCACGGACCAAGAGACTCAGTCCTGCGGAGCCACGCGCATTGGAAGCAGGAAAGGAGAAGAGACAACTAGGTAGGTAGAACTTAGAAATGGGCAAGCAGCAAACAAACAACAAACAAACAAACCTACACATTCTGCTCGACGGTTGAAGAAATGACTTCTTGTCTCCGATCCCCCTAACCAAGAACAGACGGGGGTGCGTGAATTGGATGGCATGGGAATGGAGACCAAATGGAGACAGAAAAAAAAGGAATCGAGAGGGAAGGGAAGGGAAGGGACGGACGGGAGGGATGGAAACTCAACGAACGCGGATGTTTATGGCCTCCGTCTAAACCAACAACAGGTCGGGCTACAAGCAAGACCCAGGGATCTGGATTCAGCAGTCTCGCTTATCGCCGCGCCGCAGTTCGGGGGAGATCGAGCAGGCACTCACTAAGCTAAACGTAGGTAGTCGTAGGGTGCTCGATCCGCCACCAGCAGCGCCAACGCACTCTAACTGGCGCTAGCAGGACTAGTTAGTCATCCGCTATCTTCACCTCAGGCACCCCTACAGCTCTGCTCTGTTCGAGTTGGCCGCATACGGATCACATCCCTCACGACTAACAGCTTGAGAAAACTTTATTTCTCCTCCGTCGCCCAATGTCCAACGACTTGGCCGACGATCGAGCTACGGTGAAGCCATCACCATCGTCTCTGACGTATCTATTCCGTATCATCACTGCCATAAGAACACATTTGTCGATTTACAGTACAGACTGACATGCATTTGCCCCAATTGGTACTCACAACATTTCAGCGCATTGCCCTGGTACCAACCAGCAACAGAACACTCCCTCGAACAGAGAGGATTATTAGGTAGCGAGCGTGTGCTTCATCATCAACCGGCCGAGGCTCCTTCAATTAAGCGAAACCAATGAAAAACACCAACAAAGACGTTGCACGATTCAGGCACGACTCATCTCTCCGCTCTTGACCTCAGGCACAGCTCTAGACCATCTTTTGAATAACGGCATGCCCTGGTCTAGTCGCATGCCATGCTGTCGCTGAGGAGACAGACTGATAGACGCTTCGTCTGCCTTACCCGTCCCGTTGATGGTTCCTTGATTTAGCGACAGTCGCATTCCTTACACTGTCGATGAAGCATGGCTCGATTCAGCAGGCGTTGTATTGGCATTCCTGTCACGAGCGCCACTCTGAGCGGTTCCAAGGTCTTTTAACCTTAATTCGTCAAATTCACAGAGTCTTGAACTCCATATAAGGTTCGGCACCGGCGTCTTTGCCTTGACTTGACAGGCTGTTCCGGGCTTGTTAGCTGGTCTAGTCTTCTCCAGGTTTTACCACAACTGCTCGTTTGTTTGCTTGTTGCCTTTGTCTTCTAGGGCTAGATCCCGTGTCGCCCGTGTCCGTCAAGCCCGCCTCACCCGTGTCACATCCGTCGTCACATACTATGCTTCTTCCGTCGAGTCTTGAGCCTCGTCGATGCGACGCCTCTCGGTCATCCGAATATCCTTCCGCTCCGGGCCTATCGCTTGCATCATGCGTCACGCCGAGTTGAGCAGAGTTATTGGCCTTCGCCCTGTGGGACCTCTCTCATCATGTGTTATTCTCAACACCCCATGCTGTCCGTCTTGCAACAAACTCCATCCGCCTCCCCCCTCGTATAAACTTTCGCCGTTGATATAATGCAAAACTCTAATTGCCCTATGTCCAAGGCTCCACATGCTACTGACAAAAGAACCTTTTGAGGAATTAATCAATCACCTCCAGGCTCGATATGAGAAACGGCACTGAGGTCTGAAGGCTGGCTTATCTTCTGAAGTGGCTAGAGTCGCAGGTCTGACGCTCCAGGGTTGTCGTCAATGTCCGATGACCGCTGCTCTATCATCCGTATCCACTCGACTGATCTCGACCTACGATTCTCTTCACAGAAACGAACAGCCTCTCTACTAGTCGTCGGTGCCTGACTCTTCTGTATATGTTGACCAAGAGCCTTTCCAGACCCTCTGGTCCCGCCCGACCGTACAGCTGTTATATCGTCCCCAGGAACAAACGAGAATTGACGATGATGTCGAGAGTCAATTTGGTGGCTTCTTCGATCGCACCGGAGCTCAGTAACCGTATCCTGGCTTGACTGGTTTTGTGTGAGAGATGTGGACGTAGAGTTTGTCCGGCTAACAATGCCAACCTCCTCCATTGAGGCTGCCTCTTCGGAAGCATCGCGCTCCCTCCTGGCACTATCTTTGTGTGGCGACATGTCTGCTGTGCCTCGTCCATCGGGACCAATTGAGAGCATAGAAGCACTTCGTGGATGCATTTCTTCTCGGCCTTGCTCAGGGCGTGTCTTTCCATCTCTGTCTGCATGTGTCTCAAGTCGGCGAACGCCGGCTGTTACTTTCTTCTTCTTGAGGTGATCCTGGACCCGGAACCCTCTGCTCAACCTGATCTCGTTGCTGGTATCCATGGTCCGTGTTCGAGATACTGTTCATAAGATGTTAGTATGGAGCGGATATTAAACAAGTCTGGAAATGAGCATGAACGCTTACACACTGTATCTTGTCGTGTTAGTAAGGTGGGATTACGTTCGTTCTTGACAGTGACTTCAGGGGCTGTTTTACGTCATATGTCAGTGTGGTCGAGTGCTTCGCGATTGGACATACTTACCTCCATTTGAAGTGCCCTCGTCGACCACGTCACTGTTGATGGCCCTTTGCCCGATTGTAGCAGCTCCAGCTCTTCCCCTGAGGAGACTACCGGCCCTAGCGAGTGCCACAGCCTCCATGCCTTGATCAGACGTTCGATGAATAAACATCTCAAGGCGTTTGACCTCAGCTTTGTACCGTGCATCCTGGACCATCCAGTGTTCTTCTATGAAGCTGTGTCGACTTGCCTCTTCCTTGAGTGCCATTTTTGCTTCTGCAAGCTCTCGTTCGAGCTTGGCAATCTTTCTGTGTCCAGTACCATAAGCTTCGCAAAGGAGCAGGATATGCGAGCGATACTCTGCGGAAAGTGCTTCGCTTGCAGGATTGGATATTACTGCAACTTGCAAGGTTTCTGCTACTTGGTCAATGGAAGGGTTGTGCCAGATCTGCTGGTTTGCATTGATGAACAACTTGTCTACTTCGTCCAAACTGTATTCCGCCTCAGCCGCCGTGGTAGTCGATTGGTTTGCCTGAGATACTCCTTGCCAGCTAGGGAGTCGTGTCATGCTCTTCTTCACGCGGTGGCCATGCACTTCTTTGCTTTTGGGAGGATCTTTGTACAAGTCTTGTAGGGTTGCTTCGGAGACATGGTACTTCAGATCGTGCTGTCGAGCTCTGTTGCCCCCAAGAAACCGCAGCCAGCTTTGGTCCGCCATGATGCGTTGCATTTGTTTTGGTGTTTTTCTGCCAGGTATGAAGTGTCGATGAGGATACTGCAATATTTACCCTGGCAGCCTGAGTGACTGATACTGATCATAGGTAAGGTTGGCAAGCAGGACCTAAGGTACGGTGGTACCTATCTGCTACTGGCTGTCACTGCCAATGTCGGTGACAGTCATTTTACCTCGAGAACAACAAACTCGGTATACGGGTATAGGCACATACGTCACCGATACCTATTATTCACAGTCCCTCGCCATCCCTAAGGTAGGTACCTATTTCATCTATCGTTGGGTAGGCGCAAAATTTATACATTGTACGTCCACTAGGTACTAGGTAGGCGCTCAGTCGTGTTGGCATGGTTGAAATACCTAGGTAGATAATCAGGTCTACATACACTTCTCTTGCAGGTCCATGGTTATCACATATCCATTAAGCAATCTTCTGCGAGACCAGAATTAAACAACTTTGGGTTGCAAACTCTGCCCCGCTGCCATTTGTGCGCTCAAACCTCCCCCTTGATCCACTCGCTTTCACTCAGCCTCCAACCAGTCCTGAATGAGTGTTCTGTTTCCGCAACAATCGATTTCATTTCCGATGTTTGCTCAGGCTCACCTGTCTCTAGGTATCCCATCTTCCCCGTCGATGTCGATGTCGACAGCGCACGGGCTTGTCCCGGGGCAGGTTGTTCTGAGTAGTTCACAAGTGATTCGAGGATGGTCGAGCTGGTGTCTCTCTTGAGAGCTGACTGAAGCGGAATTATACCGCAATCGTTCAATTCGAGGACTCTCGCTTTGACACTGCGAGGGGAATCGGATATGCCTAGGAAGCTGGTAGGACTGGCTATGCTGGTATCAGTATTCTCTATCTCCTCTTGAATATCCGATAGAGAAGTGTATCCATGGGCCTCGACCTGCTTTTCAATGTCCCTATGGTCTACGGGCTTCTTGATCGGAACCTCGGGGAGAGGACGAGCTAAGGCTTTCTGTGATGCAATCATAGGGGCTGCTTCGGTCAACCGTCTGGGGCGTGTTGATGAACGGCCCTCCCCCTGGACTGACAGAACATCATCCAATACGGAGCTTCTTGGACTCTCTGTACAGATATTACCAGTACTAAGTGGCTTGATAGAAAAAACCCCTTCGCTCGCGTGTTCAGCCATGTCCTCTTCCATATCGATTGAACTGTCCTCCAACTCAGGATCCGGTGCGAGGCTCAGTTGGCGCAGATTTAGTAACGATCGATAGAGAAAACGGAAAGAGACGAAAGGTGACTCTTTTGAGTCGATTAGGATCCAATCGTAGAAACAGGCTTCATCTGGTGAATCGAGGAGACCACCAGAGGGCGACCTGCAACTTATTAGCCTGGCGTCACTGAACATCCATGCTAGGCACACCAACCCAATACCGTATGACTCCTGACCGCGGTGGCCTTCTAGTATGGGCAATCTTCGAATCCGGCCCTTGGCACGAAAGACTTGGACCTCTATCAAGCCGCCATCTTCTGCAACTGATTGATGGGCGTGTGGAAGAAAGGAAAAGCAACGTGCCTCTATCCCGTCCCTGATGCGTAACACGCCATCTTCCTTGTATTTCCAGCGCTCGCTTGGCTCACAGAGGGAGCGTGTGATGGAACCTGAAGCTCCATTGAGAACCCTCACGCCACAGTTTGTGATGTTTCTGCCATTCATGAAAATTTTGAAATACAAGTAGCGTGGCAGTTGTGACGTTTCGTTGAGTGCATAGTGGAATCCAAATCGTGAACCTAAACCCAGTCAGATAGGGCTCGTTGGAAGCTTTGGTTTAGAAAAAGGCAAACCTGGGTCTGAGGGGACGTAGACAGAAATCCGAGGACTGGTCTTCCGAAGTTGGCGTGGCAATGAACCAAGTCGGCTCGAGGCAGCGAGACTTGAGCAAGACAGTTGATCAGCAGAGGGCAAAACACTGCGAGAGGAGGAATCCGAGAGAGGAAACTCAGGGAGCTTGGCCAGTTCGGGCTGAGTGACCATCGCAACTTCAATTCCCTCAAGAGAAGGCATATTGCAGATGCTCAGCAATCCGAGAAGGCTGTTTACAGGCGAAGATGAAAGAAGGTCTTGAGGGACGGCCTGTCACAAATTAAGTCACATCATACGCTCACTGAGTGTAAGGAGATCCAGGTTGCTTGGAGATTGTTGATGGGAGGCATTAGGGGGGACTGGCGGCCAGCTGTTGTCGGCTGGCAAATATGACCGGTTACCTACCTACCTTAGGTACGTAGCCTTCCCTCCCTGGCGCTTGTGCCTTGCTTGGCTTCTGCTGCCCTTAGACTAGGACATACTACGATGCACCAATTTCAATTAGGCTCGCCCTTGGCCCGATTTGCATCACATGGCTGCATATGTCAACAGGATCCTGAGCACAAGTTAGCCTGCTTGGTGGTACTACAGTAGAATTTTCCCAAGGCGGGTTATTAAATAGCTGTTTCATATCTAAGGAACTGGCAGTCCTACCATTGATAGCTTGTCAAAAGTTCCAGCTGGTTTGCGTTGTCACGATTGGCAGCTTGAGCGAAACCAAGGTTTATTCCTTCATGTGTAGCAGAGAGATACAGGTAATCCGGCTAGCATAAATAGCATTCGAGTATCATTCATTGAGTATTTCCAGATCCATCCGTCGTCTAGCTTTGTCCTAGCACCTTCTTCGTGTCTTCCTCCTTGTCGATGAGTCCTAGACTCCTTATTTGTTTAACGCTGGGCGCATCATCGCGCGCTGTAGCGGACTCGCTTCGGGCGTAGGCAGCTTGCATAGCGAGAGCTCGAGCATGCTGTCGATTGTTGTTAATTCACTGTACTACTAGGCCGAAAGCAACGCCGAATCTGCATGCTTCAACCTACCTCCTTCTTGTGGTGGAGGCACTCGTAGTAGTCTTCGAGAACCAGGCCGCACTTCTTCTTGCCAGAGTCATCAGCGGCAGTGGTGTTGACCACATAGCATCCCATAACCTCCTGCCAGAAGGGAAAGCAGCGGCCAACGCCTAGAGTCCAAGTAGATGTCGTCAGTCCATGGAATGTTTGACTGGTTGTATGTGGGCGTGGAAGCTCTCTTTATAGACTTACCGCCGTTCATGCCGTATCCCGACGCCATCTTGAGCCAATTGAGTATGTGTCGAGGCTTTGCGCGGGTCGGGCAGTATCTGATGGTTGAATCGCGGTTCGTTTGACGTTGTAATCGTGAAGTGCTTCCGGCCATTGAGTTGACCCGTACCTTGGCCGAGTAGCAAATCGGTGCCCGTGGATTGGATGATGAAGTGGATCCTAAGGTATTGGCTCACTGAAAATAACGCTTGAGCCGCCACAGGCACTCATGTATGTGTGGCGTGTTATTTGTGGCTGTGGCTACCCAAAGCAACCTAGGGTACTTACTGTTCAGTACGGAGGTGCTAAGGTAACCTGCCACTTTGTTAGTTGAAGCTGGCCTGGCTAAGCAACATATGACCTCTCCTTTTCCAGTCCCAAAGTGAAACTATTCCTAAGAGCTTCACTACCACCTATGCTCTCATTGACTCTATCATCCGACTGGGAACGCTATCGTCACTATCATCATGGCGGCTCATGTCACGCTGGGTCCTGCGAAGCTGGTGCTCCTGGCTGTACACTTCGCAACCGTCGCCGACATCGATGGTTTGGCCTATCTCATTGGTCAACATGGAGTAATACTACGGCCAGAGCTGTTACTCCGAATCATTCTCACATATCTTCCCGAAACCCTCAGTCCGGCGGTGTATGTACCTCTCATACAAGCCATAGCAAGCGGCGAGTCGCCATCACAGACAAATTCAGACTGCCAGCTCGACACTTCTTCTGTTCAAAGTATAACAGAAGAACAGGCTTCAAGAAAAGTCAAAAAGCTTCATCTTCTCTGTCTCAAAAATACTGATGTGCCTCTCACTCTCGCTCTTGAGGCTGATCCACTCACCTCTTTCTTACTTTTGAGGGCTTACAGAATGGACGAAGAAGCAGGCATGTTACCGCAAGTTCCTGACCTGGTAGCCCCATTTCTGCAGCATTCGCAAGAACTCCACACGTGGATGATCTCAACGGTACTCCCTTTAGTCAGACGAAACTACGAGTATTATCCACAAAGGCCTATACGGTATTCGCTGCTAGAGTTCCAGAACCTACCTGACAGAATGGCTATCGATTATCTACTCGCTGAGACAGGTGCCGTCGATGATGAATTTAGCCTAGCTGGCCGTGATCTGAGTGGGCTTGTTGGGCCTTGGCTGCATAACGAATCGAGGTGGAAACGCGAGGCCTTTGACCAAGATGTATCAAATAAAACAGATGCAGCGCCTGAATTATCGTGTCCTGGTTGGGAGCAGGCCCTCGAATGGCTCGCCTCTAAAGCGGCAACATCCTGGCCAGTCGCTCTCAAAGCCATTGAATCATGGGATGGGCCATCTGATATAGACCTGGGAAATGATGCCGGCTCGTGGCTTCAGGAAAACCAGCAGCAGTATCTCGACCGCTCTTATGCCAGAGCCGTCTTAGCTTCTGCATATCTTGTCTCTGATGCCGACGTGGGGGCTTTGGAGGCAGCCTTCAGAATATGCAATAAGATTCGGTCCCTCTTGGACGAAGACTCCGATATAACACTTCAATCAGCAGTAGAAAATCTTGCCTCTGTTCCGCCTTTCGATATGGACGCATTTGGGGGGGCCAAAGCTGCGACAAATCTACGTAACGACCTATTACAAAGCTCAAATCCGCTTACAACCCCCAAGGAGGAATCTCTTGATCTTCTCCCTGCTCTCATTCAAAGCGCTTATCTTCTTACACAATCGGGCGCCCCCTGCACAGTTCGTAAAGCTGGGGATCTAGCATTTATTCAGGATCAGCAGGAACAAAAATCGCAAATTGGCCGGCTTATACGAAATCTTCCAACTCGTGCATCGGAAGACGACGGTTTCTGGATCCGGGCACGAAAAGAGATACTATGGTTGCACGGTTGGGGAA